AAAAATCTGAAGGCACTCGTACATGTCAGATGCTCAAAATAATATTTTATCCCTGCAGTGATTGATGGGAGTTTGTTAGGTCTGTGCTGTTGTGTTAATGTCGAGCGGCAGAGTTTCATGTTGAGCCTGGAACAGTCTGCTGATTCCCACGATTCCAATGAGCCAAACCCAACTGACTGATGATCCCAGAGATGCGTAATGCTTATGCTGCAATACAGCACCATAAATAAATGAGTAAAGACTAGAAAAATCACCTGTGATTCCTCCCATACAACGCTGGTGCTTAATGCGTGTAGATATTTAATACCATGCTCAGCATAAAACCTTAAATTGAATTTGTGTCATATATCACTTACTTTTAAACAGCACCAACCTCTAAATAATAAATAAATAAAATAAATAAACCTCAAAATAATAACAAATGGTGAGATCAAGGACTTAAAAAAATAATCTCTAAATGATAATTCTTCAAAAAACTAACAGTAACTTAAGATTCTGAAAGATTTAAAAGAAAGAAATTAAGATAAACGAGACATCTTGCATTGTTTAATAAATTGATCAAGACGTCTTTTGGGGGATGTATATGATATTGTGAAAATAAAATAAAATAAAATAAAATAAAATAAAATAAAATAAAAAATACATGGATGAATTTTCTCAACAAGACCAATAACATGAATTTAGAAAAAATATTGCGAGTTTCTATTTCATGCTGAATTTTAGGAAAAAGGAAGACAAACTAAAGACAATACATATGCTCTTTTTTTAATTCTGAAGTTATTTTTGCTAAAATTGTTATACTAATAACGTAATGTGCAATGACACCATTTTTTTATAAATTTTATATCACTGTATTTCTGAAAGAAGACTATCTTTAGAAAATTTTCGATGTCATTTTCATTTCATCTTGCATGTTATATGCCTGATAAAGCAGCGTAATTTACATAGCACATTTCGTACTCAGTGGTAATTCCAAGTGCTTTACAGAAAAAAAAGACCATTTTTATCAAGAAAATATACAGTAAAAAAGTAAAAATTGAAAAAAAAGAGTAAAGAATAGAATAATAATATAAAATGAATTCTATAAAAATGTCTACAAAGAACACTTTTTAAATTACTAAATGCTTTTAAATACATGCAGTGAATATAAAATAAGATCAATAAATTGCAAACAATTAAATTTCATCATCTACCATTAAAACGTCTAATAAAATAAAATAAAATAAAATAAAATAAAAAATACATGGATGAATTTTCTCAACAAGACCAATAACATGAATTTAGAAAAAATATTGCGAGTTTCTATTTCATGCTGAATTTTAGGAAAAAGGAAGACAAACTAAAGACAATACATATGCTCTTTTTTTAATTCTGAAGTTATTTTTGCTAAAATTGTTATACTAATAACGTAATGTGCAATGACACCATTTTTTTATAAATTATTAAAATAAAAAGCACTATCAGTGGTCTCAGAATTTTGAACCATACTGTGAATACATAGAGCTCCACAAAAGCTTTTAAGCTTTCTCACATCTGTTGAAATACTGTAATTACATATAACTTTGACTTTAGCACATTAATATACTGTAATGGCTAATGGCTTTATCAATAGCAATGCCATGACTATTATTTGCACAAACAGCAAAGCTAAGGAGCTCATTTTTGTAAACAGTTGAAAGCACTTTTGTGTCCAGGAGGTCCAAGTCTTCCAAAATTCCAATACTAAAAATTAGGGATATGCAAAAGTAGGCTACATATATTTAGAAGAAAAAAAACTCCTAGTCAGAGGGTTGCTAGAATGCGATCTTGAAACACAATATACAGAAGACAAATCAAATCGACTCTTCTGCAATCTGTATGTATATGCCTGTAGCGTTTCTGCTTTAAAAGGGATGAATTTAAAGACCAAACATCTCCAAGAGGTTTTTACTGTGCCAGCTGTCTAACAGCCAATGCACACCATGTTGTCGGCACGCCAATTAAAACTAAAAAAAAGGGAGAAAAAGCATCAACCTCACTGATCAAGCCATGTGAAGCAGTGAGCTCAGGAGAGAAGCATACATTAAATACTGTACACATGCCAATAATCTAGAACTTGCCATTGCACAACACAATACCTATTTGACATGCCTGACATGACATGAGCACATATCGACTGAACAATTCTGTGGTGATTTTTATATCTGGAAAGTGCCTTTGACAACTGCTGTAGTGCCATTGATAACTGCCACACTAAAGCAGTAAATTGGCATTGTGCAATTGCAAACATCCTGTTTCACACCCCGTGATTTGGCTCGGTGCGTTGGCATGTATTGTTGAGCCCAGAGCTGCTCTCTCATTAGAGGAGTTTGGACTACATTACCCAAGTATCTGGAAATCTGATCACACAGGAGCATCCGCAGCCAAACCCGCCTGCCACAGTGGCCGGCATCCTGAAAAACACATCCTGATGCCAAAGTATGATTTGATTGAATTAGTGAGAAGGAACAGAAAGGAGGCAATATGTTGTCTTGTAACAATGTTAAAAGAGTAGTTCACCCAAAAATGTCATGCTAAATCAGTGTGCTGTTATTTTTACTGTGGAACACAAAATAGTGTTGAACAGTTCACAGTGACCATGGATTGCAAAGAAAAAATAGGACTGAAAACAACATAAAAATATCCATGAAAACAGTCTATATGACTTGTGCACTGTATTATAAATATAAATCTTATTACATCTCTAAATAGAGACATTTTGGTTTGGTTTGTCCACAAATAAAGCTATAGTAAGGCTTCAGGAGACTTGGAATATAGCGCACATACTAATGTTATGATGACCTAATAATGTTGTTGGCTCTTTTTTGGAAGCTTGACGGCAGCTTGACTGTCATTGCATGGAAAAAAAACTGCTTAAATATTCCAACTTTTTTGGGTGAACTGTTTCTTTATTAAGTGAATACAATTTCAGGATTTTATTTTAAATACAGAAAATAATGTACCTATATAAAATATATATATTATAAATTATACCTGCCTATATGATTTATTCTACAGTAACTACTAGTGCCCTTAACAATAGCATTCTCTATGCTTTGTCTATTATATCCACTTATTTTCTTTTTATTTATTATAAATAATGACCCTCTAACACTAGCATTCTCTATTATTTTTCTCTACTTCTGACTTGTTTTATTTTTATTAGAAAAACCACTAGTGTTCCCTATTCTTTCTTTTATTCTATCTACTTGTTTTCTTTTTATTTACTAAAAAAACCTTACTACATATACTGAGACTTGTCACAGCACTTACATATTACTGCTCTTTTGTTGGTTTTGATAGCTTCTATTGTCCTCATTTGTGAGTTGCTTTGGATAAAAGTGTCTGCTAAATGACTAAATGTAAATGTAAAAACAGTATATAATACATCCTAATAAATCTTATTTAAAAAACAGTGACTCTTGTATGCTCACCAAGGCTGCATTTATTTGAATAAAATAACAGTAAAAACTATAATTTTGTGAAATATTAATATATACAACTAAATATAACATTGCATAACATAACACCTTTCTATTTCTATGTATTTTAACATTTTTATTTAATCCTGTAATGGCAAAGCTGATTTTTTTTTTCAAGAATCTTTGATTAATAGAAAGTTCAAAAGCACTGTATTTGTTTGAAATATAAATTTTTGTTTATACATTTTTCTACGGAAGAAATAATTTTACTTTACTGTCACTTTTTTCTCTATCAATTTTCTGTATCTTTTCTTAATAAAAGTATTGCTTTCAACAACAACAAAAAATCTACTGAATGTTAGAATAAAAAAGGTGTACAGGACATAATAAACAACAAAGGTACATTAAGGTAACCATTGCAAATTATTTTTTCCACTGGCCCAACACCATCCCCGTTTAGGTTTTAGGGGTACTATAACCCATACCTTTGCCGAGGGGCGTTCACATAAAGTAGAGATCCTAAACCAAATGTCAGCCTGAGAACATCATCATAACAGGTTAAAGGTTTTCCAGTGGCTTTCTCCAAAAGCTAAATGGTCAAAGGGGAACAAAGTCCCTCCCTGGAAACATCTATACCTAGGTTTTATGGGTCTGCTCCAAGGGCTGCCTTCAGGCAATGACCGCTCTGGTCTGGGGCTTGTCAAAGAGCCTTTAAAGTCAAAGCAGTGCATGTAATTTCACTCCAGCGCTTTAACTAAAATACATGACATATCTACCGCCGACATGTCCAATAGGTGGCCTGTTCCAGAGAGAATAAAAAAAGCCAACATGTCTTGGACAGGTATGAATGATGTAAAATAAGCCCTGATACTGAATGAGTTGAAAAAATGGGGAGAGCACGGGGAAAAGATCACAGACTCTTCATTTCCATTTAAGGCACTAACAGCATACACAAAACGACAACAGTTACATGAAATGTCTGAACCTGTGCCCAGACAAAATACAGTCAGAATGGTAATGTTTCTTCTTGTTGTTTTCAGTCTTGTTTCTATCGCTTTTGGCCATATTGAGCAGAACTAAAGATTAAACCCATGGAAGACGTATCCCCTGCTGTTTCGTTCTGATTGAAATGTGCCACTAAGCTTCAGTGCTTCTGTCTTCAGGGAGATTTTTTGCCTCTAATTAAAGCTCGCCGATAGTAATTTCCCAAACGTAAACCAGTGAAACCAGCAGCCTAGGTCTGCGTTGGGGCCGCACGATTTGGGGGAAAATCGAGTTGACATTTTTATTTTATTTTTATTTATCTTAGTTTTTTCCTATTTTGTCTCTTTTTTTTTTCGATTCAATGAAACTCAATGGAGTCCAGTTTGGTTTTGGACCCCATTAACTTTCATTGTATTGACACATACAGTCTCCGGATTTTCTTTTATGTTCTGCAGAAGAAGAAAAAAAGCCATACAGGTTTGAAATGACATGAATGTGAGTACTGTAAATTAGGGCTGTGCAATATATCGAAATTATCGAAATATCGCAAATGTACATATCGCAATATGCATATCGCTACAGCTTGCAAATCGCATTTTTCTTCAATATCGCACAGCCCTACTGTAAATAAAATGTGAATTTTTGACTAATCTATCTCTTTAAGGGCCAGCCAAAAAAAGGAATCAGGCATTGGTAAATCATCTACTGTAACATAATGACATTGCAATTTAAATGCATTTTAAAAACCCCAGTGCTCCATTCTGTTGCGCAATGTCTGACTGTTTTTAAATGCAAGAATACATCTTACTTAAAGGCCACCTAGGAAACAGGCCTCCTTAAGAACATTTAGCCGACCTGTCATTCAGGCAACCCACCGAATAGCTGATTTCAAAGATGTGCAGTTTTGCACACCCCTACGATAGACACATTAAGCACAATATGCTCTGCCTCACAGATTTGCATTAACAAAGCCCACATATTATGCATCGTCTCGCTTGCTGTGTCGGAGCATACAAATGCACAGTTTCAATTCTCCTGTCTCGAATCCTGTGCTTTTATGAAGTCACTCTGTAACATCTTGTTCTTTTGCTGAATGGACAAAGATGGATGAACAGACTCAAAAAACAATTATGATTTCTAGTATGGACGAATTGCTGCTTGGAAGTAAACAAAATCATTAGGCCGGTGCTTACCAAACAGTGCAATTCTAGTTGCCTTCGAAATATTATGGGAAAACACTGAACCCTGCTGATGCCGGTAACATTTTAAGAGACTATTAGGGGTATTAAGGTGTTAAATCATTAACTGGGCAGATACATTCATAAAGCAAGGGCTGTCTAGAACCCATCAGACTTGCAAATTCCACAATTGTGCCATTTTATTGCGCTTTTAATCCTGTCACAGCACATGCAATGACAAAACTTTCAATTCAATGCACCACAGTAGAAACGCACGTAAAAATCTATAAAAGGCGCTCATAATATTATTATTGAGAGCCCTTGTAGGATATGTACAAGAATGCCAGGTGCTGAAATAAAATCTCTGATTTAAAATCTTATAAACTGCAGTTCAGTTCGTGCCTCTCTGCTCAAATGACTATTGCAGAATTTGATGCAAATGGAATAAATCAGTAGATCAGAGCGGAGGGGAAATTTCAATTAGGTGACAACTGCAAAGGATCTTGAAAGTTACGTGTGCTACAGAAAAGCAGGCAAATCAAATTAATCCAGAGTGGCATATAAAGGAAGCTTCTCTTTCTGTAATCATACTAGATAAAGCTGGGCTAATATAAAAAGGTGAAAATTCAATTTTTGCACCGGGAGAAATGATCAGTGTCTGTGATCAGGTAGCAAAAGAGAGGGCGGCTGAAGTGCCAAATAAAACGGTCTGTAAAATGAAATCTGAGCTGCTGCATTTCCCGAAGGGCACTGGCTTATTATAACTCAGATTCCTCGTTTAATTAAAGGTACTTGAGTGCTGTGATTGGCAGGAGATTTTAATGTCACCTATACATTTCTAAATTGCTTTCCTCTGCGTGTTGGTGGTCAGAGGTGGATTACCTGTATTACAGCCTTTCCTCATAATCAAAATCAGTGACAGCGGTCAGTCTCCTCACCAGTCCTTTATGGTCCACTGTTCTACTTAAGCACACATTCAGCCTATGCATAATAAAAGCATACTTGGTATTCAGTATAAATTGGCCATGTTCCAGGTCTCCAATCACATCAGGTGAACCCTATATATCATTGCGCAGGCTTATGCACATATTCAAAACAGGTTTGCATTGAAAATCTCCCATTTCCTTAAGTAATGACCTCCAGCAGAAGAAATGAGTGAACATGTATGTTACCAAAAAAGTTGTAAAGGAAGGACGCAACATAAATCAGACGGCTGCCTATCATTGCTACCGTTAGCTAATTATAAATTATTTATCTCATGCCACAAGAAATGACGAAACCCCAGGAACATCTAGTGCTTTATGGCGCTACACCAAACTGCCTGAGGAAAATGGCACATGGTCTGTTTTTGAAATGATGTCAATGAATATGAAAGCATTGGTTTTAAAATGTACAACGTATGATCCCTTAAGCCTTTCCTCCATCCAAGAATTTTACTAATCCAAAAACATGGATTTTCACTGTCATGTGTATCCTTGTTATTTTCTAGTAGTGGTTTGGTATTCAGGTGTGGTGTATTTCACTACTTAAACAATAATAGGGCTGCACAAATCAAAAAACATAATAGAAATTATGATTACAGCTGCTGAAAAAAATATTACTAAGTATTGCAATATTTTACATCATGATACTGTATGGATATTCTTACCCCAATCAATATTTATACTCAATTTTTCACAAGAATATTTCAGGGGAAAAAAGATTGATGAGCCAAGCCCAGAAGTCCAGCGCTGATGAAAGTTGAATAAATAAGTAAAAGATCACAATTTATCAGTTGTAGATAACTATAACTCTAAACAAGGAATCGCAATATTATTGCAGAGTGAATCCGATATCAATATAATATAGCATTGCCAGGTCCCTGTAGGCTCTCGTCTCTCATTTACGATGCAGCAATAAAGCAATAAAGTAAACAAGGAATAGTTCTCAGCTTGTTTTGAATTTACAACCTACAAAAAAAAACAAAAAAAAATAGGCTATTGCATGCAGCTGCCAACACAAAATATTTATTTATTTTTATTTCCATACCAGAATCTTTTGCCATTTTCATATCAACTCACATAAATATAACAAACATTACATCCGATTGTTCAATATTTGATAAAAAAAATTGATTTTTAAAAACATCCATTAAAGAACTTTCAGAGCAAAAACATTGCCTACTGGCATTTAAAGCAGACAATTCCAACACAACATGTTTTATAGGCAGTGGGGTCTGACAAAAATTGCATGTTGGTGTTACATCACCTTTCAATAAAAACAAATGATTAAGTCTGGCCACCAAAAAATATCATAAATTATAATGTAAATTGTATTATTTGGAATAAACAATCATTATCAAATGAAATAACTAAACATTATGCTTTTTTGTCATCATTGTGCAGCTGTAACATAAATCCATTTAACACAATACATTTAAATCAACCCAAGGGAACTATTGCATGTCGGCTTGGTAATTTGACCCTCCACAGTGTCTGAGAGATTTAGCGGTCCCCAGATGAAATCCTTCCTATGATATCAGCCAATCAATAGCCACGAGGTTATCATCTCACTTTCACGGCTCCTACAGTACAAACACCACACGTGCTGTTTGTTGTTTTTATCAGTCAGTTAATGTGATCGCCCTTATTCCTCTATGTTCTTAATGAGCAGTAGAGTCGTCTCAATTCAGGCCGTATCAATCACAGCTACTACAAGGACATTTTTTGGCTTGTCAGCAGGTTAGCACGCATGGCTTAGCAAGGGTATTACAGTTGTGAATACATTCACTGAACCATGTTGTAATGGTTATATAGAGCGAGGGTAACTTGTTCATATCGCATTCCAGATTTCAATTATTCTTCCCTTTCTACAATGTCTCAAAAATTACCTCCCCACCCGCCCCAACCCGCTCTACGCTACTGCAAATCATTTGTAGCAACAATATGACAGGTTTTTATTAATGGCTCCCTGTTCTGGCATTCACACTCAACAAGCATTGAACAAATAGCAACCTCAATATGTTATTCACTTTGATAAATGATTCAAATAATACTAATGATACCATGACATTCTATCACGAATTTTTCTTATAAGAGAATATTTGACTGGGAGCACACTTAATACATATTAATGCATCCTCATGTTGAACACCGCTTCTGCTACTCGAATGTTTATTAGCAATCTGCCTATACCGACTTTAACGTTCATTTCTATTCCAAGCTGGTTCAGACACTAAAACCAGAAAGGATTACATGTTCTTTTCATTTTCTTAAGCAACTGCGAAAAGCGTTGCCACCGCCGTAGAGGTCTAATCAATGAGGAACATTGCAAATAGTGATGCTGTTCGCCAGCCAAAATAAATGTAATAGTCGTGGGCTGTGAAAGTCTGCTGAAAGGGAGAAATAAGGATGAGCTTTAATCCCTCACTGAATCTTCAGAAAAGTCATTAGGGTCAAAATACTGTGGAGGATGGTGAGAGAGGACCTTTTTTTTATTATAATGAAGCGCCTGGGCTCCTGAGGGAAACAATGCCGGGGGCCGCCGCTTGCGTTCGGCAGATCTGAAAATTAATGTTTTGCGGCGCTATCTGCAAAGGGCCCCCAGGGCACCCACTGGCTGCCGTATCCAGGAGCAAAGAGGTGCCCAAATCGTACAAAGGCATTTTGATTACAGCCACACTGTCAGACGGAATCTATGCATCAGCTTCTCTATTAGATATAATGGACCTGACAGGCAGGATGTGCTAAATCATTCAGTCAAATTTTGGCACCTAGTGACAAGCTATTTTGACAAGACCTGTTTAGGGTGATCCGGTGGGAAAGGATAGAGTCTGGGTTTGAATGTCACATGAGCCACTTGAAAGACTGTTTAAGTGGAACATCTCAGAAAGAGAGAAGTTCCTGTTCTCGAAAAGTAAACTTGAACAGTGCCACTGCTCGACAAACTGCATCCTAAAAAAGGAGAGGATTGTTTCTTGGCCCTTAGCTTGTAATATCTTAGAGTATCCACAGTGAGACTGCTTTGACAGTTACTGCAAATTATCCACTTCAGTACTCTTCTCAGAGACACAGACATTTACCACGGACAATAGCATATTCACAGGGATTTTTTTTTTCCCTACGCTGCAAGATCCCTTCTGAACAGGAAAACATCCCTGCAGGATGCATTAGGCTCCTTGGCAGGAGACAAAACAAGAAGACCTTCAGAAAAATGACGGTGCACTAATGCTGCATTTAATTAAAGGCAATCAAAATGGCCAATTCAAACATGTTTCTAGGCTGCAGATGTTCTATGTAAAGAAACTAGGCAGAAATGACTAATGCACAACACTCTAAAGCAATGGTTCGTTCTCGTAAAAAAAAGTCATATTTCCTTCAAATTACTGAATTACTCTGGCACATACTTTCAAATACCTTGATGTTTAAATTCTCAAAAGGAAAGTTCACCCGATGAAAATTCTGTCATCTGTTATCATTTACTTACTCTCATGTTAATGTAAACACAAAAACACACAAAGGATTGAAACACACTGAGTACAATGAAATTCAACGTTGTCCAAAACAACACAACACACGCACAAAAATCATTTTTCTTTTTCTTTTGTGAGTGATACAGCTTATTTTAACTACTGAACTATTCTTTTAACCTTTCAGTTGTGTTCAAAAACTGGATAAAACTTCTGTGTTATGGGTTAAAATCAACAGTATGAAAAATACTAAAAAATCATGTAAAAATAGAACCCCTCTATTGTGTGTATTGCAGTCATGTAAAAAAAAAAAACATTTATATACTTTATATATACACATACATACCCGTGTGAGGTTAAAATGGGTTTCTCACACTTTTTTTAGTGCTTCAGTAGTTTAGTGATTGAGATACAAAAAACAAAAAAACAAAAACAACCTTTTACAGACTTTTAGATTGTGAAACTCAAAAAAAAAAAGATGAAGAAACAGCAACTTTTCATAGGGTGATTCAGAAGGCAAGTCTCACTTTCATGTACACTTTGAGTCTTTAATTTCATAAGGTTTCATGTATTTCAAAATACAGTGTTTAACAAGATTTGACAAAGTTTTTTTCTATTTCTGCGAGGTTAAAATTAGTTGCTCACACTGCTGCAACAGTTTAATAATTGTTTAATAATTGAGATCCAAAAAATTAACAACCAAAAAAAACCTCTTAACAGATTTTTGGCTGTAAACTAAAAAAAAAAAAAGATGAAGAAACTGCAAATTGTCCTAGGGTGATTCAGAAGGCAAGTTTCAGATTCATTTACACTTTGAGTCTTTAGTTTCATAAGTTTATGTATTTCAAATTTCAGTGTTTAACAAGATTTGACAATAAAGAACTTTGTTTTTTCTGACTCTTGGTGTTTTTCAAAGTGTTGCTTTTTGGCAAATTGCATGGAAATAAGTTTGAAACTTTGAATGCACAATCATGACCCTAAATGAAAAATTTCAAGACAAAAAAAATAAAGAGTTCAATAAGCAGTTTGAAAACCATCCCCAACAAAAAAGAGGGTTAAAATTCCACTATTTAATGAAAATAGTAGTGCAACAGAGCAGCATTTGCACAGAATCTCACCATGCGGCCTGTTAAGGGCACGGTGTTACTCATTTGTTTTTCCCAGACGTCTCTGTACAGATACACCAACAAACACATTGTTAACCAGCTAAAATAAGGGCTCAACTCTTGGATCCAGATCACGTAGTGAGGAAAAGTCAAAGCCTGACCTCTCCACCCAGTGTCAGACAAGTCAGCATGACAGCTGAGCAATCAAAAACAGCAGTCGACCCATGACTTCAACACCGCACAGACTCCAGCCGCTGCGCACACTTCATTTGATGAAGTTCAGGTCCCTCCTGTCCTGTCAATCAGCAGGGAGCATGACAGCATTATCCACGTTCCTCCATCCAAGACAAATCACTTCTGAAACTGCCATGTTGAGATGTCTGCTTACGTTGAGCTTCTCTCAGCTCTCAGTTTCTGATTCTGCTACTCCCTCTAGGCTTTTAGACAATGTTGCAAAAAAGGGACAATCATTTGTAATGAATAAAATATGATATTTGTTGTCTAAACATCAAGTATTTCACAAAGCAGTTGTTTTTAAACTCATTCAAACTCCCAGAACGATTTGCTAAATGATCAAACACTAAAATGTAACATAATCTGTATGCGGTACCCATAACAGCCCATTTTGAAAGAGTTGCGCTACAAAGTGGTTTTTCAAAGCCATGGGATGCTAACGAATGACCCACCAGGCATTTTTTTTTCAGGGCAATCTGTTGTTTCCAATAGACTGCATTTAATAATCAACCTCAACATTAAATTCAGGCATTACAATTGATTTTAAGATTTTTAATTATTACTTGATAATAATTAATCCCCTGCTGAAGAGTTTTTGTTTCCTTAGAAACCAAGTGCAACCACAAGCTGCCCCGCTGAAGCATTTTTGCTAAGCTGGTTTCCTTCACCTGTGTTGGTATGTTAAGCCAGAGGGCTTTGACTTCTTTGTTTCAAAGAAATTAATTGCCTTTAGGGGAGATAAATAGCAAGTGACAAGCACCGATGCCAAAAGCAGGGATCCCAGTGGAATGAAAAAGCGACATAAAGAAAGGCTATTTTCACATTGTGGCCACTGAGGCTCAGTGTGAAACGGCTGGCTGAATGTTTAAACTCTCTTAGCCTCTTGTTTTTCTGTTCCCTAATTACAGTGGGGGAAACATAACAGGTGACTTATGATGCATCAACAGGCCTACAGAATATTGCTAGAATCAACTCGGCTGAAATGCTGTTCACATCCATTTGGATGTTTTCATTGGTTTTACCAAAACAGACCTGGCGAACTAACATTTAACCCAAAAAATATATATGGTGAGAATAGGGAGTCTAGACTTAAAGGGATTGTTCAACTACAAAAGTCAATTCTGTATAGTATTCTGTATTCTGCATAGCATTTATTTATGAATAGTATTTTTGTTTCCATACTAGGGTTCATGAACAATTTGGTTACTCATATTCTTCAAAATAGTTTATTTTGTGTTCAGCAGAAGAAAGAAACTCATACAGGTTTAAAACAACTTGAGGGTGTGTAAATGATGAGAGTATTTTCATTTTTGGGGTGAACTATTGCTTTAATGTTATAGTCAGTGTGCCTAAACTGTATTACAGCAGTGTCAGATGGAAAAATCTACAGTAAGACCGCTAGTAAATTGTAATCTAAAATTACCACCACCACTAGTAAATTGAAAATGAAAACTAGTAATTTTAATAATTTAATGTTTGTTAAATAAAAGTATAAACCTAACAATTTGAGTGAACTTGAAAAGTAAATACATGAATTTGCACTGTATACACACAACACTGTTAAAAAATAAATAAATAAATAAAAAAAATGTTAAATTACAGCACAAAATCACCAGCTGTGGTTGCCAGAAATTCACTGTAAAAATACGGTGACAATATTTCAAGTGTTACTGCATTAGTGTCTGTATACTTTACTTATAACTGTGTATTTCAATCTTACAACTGTACATTTCATTACTTGATATAATGTTAATTTACCAATTCGACTTGAACTATCAAGTCTTTTACTTTAAAATGTACTGATAACCACCTTTTTTGTGTAAAAACTATACATATTCTTTGTATATTTACAGTGTAAATTTACCCAAACATCACAGACAGATGATGTAAGAAACATGATAACTTTGTAGGGTATCAGACCGAAACAAACAATTTAAGATTCAATCAAGAACATGGTTGAAACATGAGGCGCCGAATTCCAGAAAGGCCCAAAATGACAGGATGTTCGTAAATCAGATCCTAGCGCCAGCCAGTCTGAAGCAAGCCTAACCAACCAACTCTTTCACAGAACAGCTTGCAACATTAACACAAAAGAACAACTCAGGAAGGAGATTGTCAATTTTGGGGCAAGTAAGCTAGATTGATGGTCAAAGAGATGCACAGCATGACCATCACAAAATCCATGATAGTAATCACGATCACGAGCTCTTTGGATTGACTTCCCCCCATACAACTGAAGTTAGTGGGGTCCAGAACAATTGTAAAACCCAACTAACGTTCAATATATAGTCAAAAAACAGATATTTTCCAAATATCTTTTGTCATTCACAATAAATCACACGCATGCACGCACACACACACACACACACACACACACACACACACAAATCAAAATAATATAGAATTTTCACTATATGGTGATCTAAAACCTTTAATTGGGAATGAATGATCAGCACATGTTATTTCGTAGAGAAAAAAAATAGTATTTGCAATCTTTAAGTAAAAAGTGATAACTTATGCATTCATTCTGTAGGGTTTCAGACCCAATCAGACAAATTAAAGATTCGATCAAGGACATGGTTGTTAAGTAATCAAAGTCATTACACTGCTTTGGGTGGTTTCCCCCACCTAGAAGACAAGAACCAGACTGAGATTCCTTAGGAGACCGTTTAACCTCTCTGGTCTTCACAGAACATATTCTTATGTTCACAGAATGGCACAGAAACTGTCTTTTACAGATGTAGACTCAAGGGTTCATATTCATATTTAGTATGTGTGTGTAATCTTCTTGCTTGAAATGTTTCTTCCAATCAATTCTTCGTCAAATGTATCATTTTCTTGTTATAGAACTCATGTCCAAAATTATACTCTGCAAGAGCAGGAAAATTCGGACCATGTGACTGATAAGATCACATGTTGATTTATGAATTGGGAGGAGAAACATACAGCACCCCGAGCAAAGACAATATCTAATTGGTCAAGGCACCATTTGGGATGTGGCCAACAACCTTGTTTAAATACTCAGGACACCATCAAATTCTCAAAACTTCAACCAGCCCACAACTCCGCATCTTCAGCCAATGCCCAACCATTGGCTTCCCAAGACGTCACCCAAGACGAGGCTGCCAATCAGCAACCTCGGGAATCCCCCTTTTCTGCAAGGATAACAACAGAGGCAACCCCCGTACACAGGCAATGCAAGTACCTCCAGATTCTAGCTGAACTGGTGCATTTAATATAAAAACCTCATTGAGGAACTCAATGCGAGGGTTAATTAAGTGATAGATGGTTGTTCATGTCTATGCATTTTCACATATTGCTATAAACTTGGAATCTCACATTTTCATTCTCTTAAACTCATTCTTTCCTTTACTGTGCTAATAAATAGTGTTTTCACTATACTTTGGATATTAATATCCATTGCAGAATTGATGTTATACGGCTCGTTCAATGAATCGCTGGCCGACTCAGCAATCAGCCATAAAACCGTGATTCTGTCCAAATTCCCTATAAAATCTTAAATGATTCCCTTTGAGCTAAATTGACCTGTTTCCCTTACAACTTTACCATATCAATAAAATGATAACTCAGAAAAAAAGCCTAATTAAAAAAAGACTTATTTTTTAGAGAATAAATTGAAGAAAATATAGAAAATATAAATTCATACAAGCCCTTATAGTTGTCACGGTTGCACTACTGTGAGGAGCGCGGAACGAGGAACGAAGGAGACCAGAAGTACATAAATCGAGAATCGAGAGAAATTCAAGGGAACACGGAAAACACCCTCCCAGAAGGCGCGTCCCGCGCCGTACAACATCCAACGGGGAGGGGGGGTGGGTGCTCTGGAGGCCTCTAGGAGCAGGGTTCCAGGATGGAAGGCCACCAGGGCAGCGCCCGTTCCGGGACCCATGGTGGATTAGGCAGTTCGGGGTGCCATGGCAGATCAGGCAGTTCGGGGTGCCATGGCGGATCAGGCAGTTCGGGGTGCCATGGCGGAGCAGGTAGTTCGGCCTCTGTGGTCTTGGCCTCTGCCACTCGGGCCGGAGGCGTATAGACCCCCCCCACGCAATTTTTTTTTCTTGGGGACAGCAACCCTCTCTGGGCTTGACTCGGGAACAGAAG